TCCTCAGATCTTTTCTCGTATGCTGGAAACTGTCCCGTGGCACACAGTAACACCCTTTCAGAAGGTCACACTTTCCATGCTACCCACCAATCCCTGTAGCTACTTGACTACTAACAACATTCGTAATGACTGCGTGCAGGAGCTTATGAAGGAACATCCCCACGCTAAAGGTGCTCTAGCAGACATTCTTCTCTGCGAAGCCATGGAAGAAGCCAAGCAAGTCGAAAAAGCAAAGGAGAAGGCAAAACTTTGTGGCACTAAGGCTGAACAAGACTTGGGTTGTGTCACTAACGATGTTTGTGTTCATTACGAATCGCCAGTGTGTCGCTGCCCGCCAGACACTTGCGATTTGACTTATGGAGCGAGAACCAAACTCCCACAACAGGACAAGACCTCGTAAGGAGGTGACAAAAAGCGGATGAACTTTTTTCCTAAGGAATTTAATATAGTCTTGCGATAGCTTTGCCGTTGCCTGTTGTTGTCGTTGGGTAGACAGAGCAGCCAATCACCTACAAATGGCGCTGATTGGTGTATTATTGGGCAAAAGGAAGAGCCAATCAACTTCAAATGTTATGCCGATAGGCTATCGTAATCTGGTAAACTTGCCACGTTCACTAGCGACTCGCAATTGTGGCATAGTATTCTCTTACAAATACAAATCCTCAACTACAATTGGCTGACAACGCTTGAGGAGTACCTCCTACAACAAGCTTTCTAACAATTGTCCAGTTTAGCAATAGGACTGGGGTGTACGATTAATTTTCTGGTTGCTTTCCATTTAAACCCTATGCCAAATGGGATGCAGAAGCCCGGCAAATATATGCGTCATAAGAACTATGGCTGCCACTTTCAGTCAGGTAGTAAGAGTGCTCCAAAATCGCGTTCCACTGCGTACTAATAAGACGCCATTAATCAAAGGCCTGTATTTGTCGCACCTTAATTGGCAATAAGGGATAGTGGGTGGGGGCGCGCTTACTCCACTGTAGACGACTCCTCACTGGCTTCTGTCTGCACTTTGCCCACACTGCCAAGCATTGCTGTAGTCTCCTCTCCCTCACTCTCCTCCACCTCCTCCAATGAACCATCTTGCACTTCCACACCATTCTCCTCACTGCCTTCATTCTCTTTCTTGCTGGCCAACGAATCAGTCACTTCTACACATGGAGCATCTTCAACCTCTTTATGGGCACTGTTAACATCTTGACGAATGTAATCACCAGAGACAACAACATCAACGGGATTTTCTGTACAAATAGGGTCAACTTTGTCAACAGACTCTCTAGATGACTTCGCTTGACTACTGCTTGGGGCTCTCATCTGGTTTGATCTCGGTGCTTTAAAAATTGGGAAATAAGGCGTCACATGGGCTTGGCAAATAGAAAAACCACAACTAACAAACAAACAAAGGCAACCTTAGTGCTTACATGTCCTTATCAACCGACCGCACTAAAACAGACACCATGTCAAAGCGAAAAGACGTTTAGCCAAAAATTGTGCAAATTGACTTACTTTCGCTCACATCCACCTCAGTAGCAGGCTCATCAAGCCTTGCCACTTCGATGGCCCTAGCACGCCAGCGAGAGACCGTAAAACTGTCGTCGTCACCCTGCCTTTTTTCTTCAGGTTCACCGGGAAGCAGTAAGTACTCTCCGGTCTGTTGACAATTCAGCTTGTCAAACACATACTTCCCTTCGCCAATAAGCTGTCAAAAGTTGCACATCACTCAACAACATAACTTCGAAAATTCAAATCTACGTAAACTTGAGAGCAACTAACCTGTCCCTTCCTCCACATCCCCAAGAATCGATATTTTGCGTTGATCACCTCCCCTGAACCATCCATCAATCCATCTCGCCACACCCCAACAAATTTACATCCGGTGACTGCAAAAGTGTACGTTCCTTTGCCATGGCGAAGGTGATCGCGCCACTCCCCCTCATATGTGTCTCCGTTTGTGTAGAAGTAAGTGCCGTGACCATTTCTTTTATCGTCTACCCAATAACCCTCATAACGCGAACCATCAGGATAGTAGAACGTCCCCTGGCCGTGTTTGCGATTGTCAAAATATTCACCCAAGTACCTAGCTCCATTCTTAAATCTGTCGCAGTCAATGTGAGTGCGTGAGTGCTTACAAGTAGTAGCCTTTGCCATTTCTCAACCCATTTTCGTACATGCCTTCATAAGTGTCGTGGTTGGGGAGAATAGCTTTCCCAAAACCGTGGCGTTCCCCCTTTTCATTTCTGCCTCCTTCATAAACTCCCAAGTACACTTCGTCTTCCCCTTCTTCAACGTCATCTTCTGACATCTTTACTCACCACACACCTCAAAATATCAAATCATGCGATGACAACTAAAGATATAGCTACACCAAAAAGTGGTTAGTATAAACAACCGCTAATGAATGTTTTGAAAGAAATCATAGCGTAAGGAATCATGTTTGGAATAGTTTGTGTCGAAATTTTATAGAATTGCAGAAATTTGTGATCGAGGTATTTTAGTAAGAATCAAAGCTGCTTTAGCCAAAACCGACCCTATCAGAGCCTCCAATGAGGCCAGACACGAAACCAACCTCATGTTTATAATGTTAGTCTCGACACCAAGTCTCTCTACCGACATAAACCGACACCCTCGCCTCATCGTTTTCAACACGTTGGATGGTCGTGTGGTGTTGCCGATATCTGGTTGTAACTACGCCTTCATTGCCACTCAACTAATCATGCAATTGTGGCGAATCAAATCCAGTAGGACAAGAGAACGCATAATTACAGGCCACGTCTTTGGTTAAGCAAGGCTCTTGCATGTCATGACGAGAGTATTCGTCGCTATTGCTGTTGTAATCTACTGCTCTCCTCCTTCCATTCGACCGCCTTCTCAGGCCCTTAAGTAGTTACCCTTGCTGTCAGGATGGATCCAGATATGTGTGCCAATGCAGTTTATCACCTCTGAATGCTTCACCTACCGAAGCGGATCCAACGCTGCGGGGCACCCAAATTGATGGAACACCCAAGGTGCCGTCACTTGCCATGCACCTCCGTCTTCCCAAAGACAACGTGATTCTGATCGCTGGCATAGGTAGGTGCATCCTGTCACCACAACGATGAATGCTCACCCCCTGCACCACTTTCAGATTCAGCTTCTTATTGCACATCCTCCTCTCTGTTGTCTTTGACTCGCACCATCTGCTCAGCATGGCTGATGATGTGATGTCATCCGTCTGCTTCTCCTCCGTTTTGTTTGCGCTGTGTCAATTCATTTCAGGAAATACGAGTGTCGACCAACTCCTGCCCCGATCACATGGGGGGATAAGTTTGCAGTATTTCAGAAAGTGCCAACATCACTCGCAACGACGTTTCCAAACAGAGTCAATTACACATGAGACGGACATGCACGTTTCCGAAGCCAGAACGTGGTGAGTAGTCGGAGATGAGACGACTGCGTATAAAATTGGTAACAGAGCTCCTGTTTAAATGCACAGACGTCCAAGTGACTTGTTTAAACGCAGCAGTTCGTACGACTGGTGTGCCACTCAAGTCCACTGTCTACTTCAGTGTGGAGAGTGTGCGAGAGAGAGGAGTGTGGAAGTTAAGAGGATCAAGTCGTTTGCTTTCAGGTGCAGCCGCCTTGAAGACGTCTTTTCCCCTCTCGCGATTCACGAAAGGTCACTCACACTTCCAAATCAAATTCGCTGTTCAAGGCGCGTGTGTAGCTGGTGGGGCATGTAATTTGTGCATGGAAACTTTTGTTTGCTGATTGTCTTTAAACCCTCATAGCATGGGCGTTGGTCTGCTCTCATTTGCCCAATGCTGTTGTTGACCTGCCGCTTGTGCCTTTCCCTCCTTCATTTGTAGTCGATGCAAAGGGTTTCACTCCCACTCTCCAACGTTCGTCAATTATATTCGAATGTGCCAACGCTGCTCAATTGCTCCTTTGCATTGTAGACCGTCAACTAGGGTGCACATGGCATGGCGTCGGGGTTGGCCGTTTTCCTCGCCTCTCCGCAGTGACATTGTGGTGCTGGTGAACCCCTCATTTGTCACATCTACGGACTTTTATAACCTGCCGATCTCGCCATTCGCCTTCCATTATGGAGCGCCTCACGCGAGATACGAAAGTTGATCTGCGAAAATATACTCTCAACTACACACGTCAAGGCGATGATCAGTACAACACATTCCGGTGGAGAGGGATGGCCAGCATGCTAGTCGTCACTGTCGATTGGACGCAAGAGGGAGAGTGAGTTGCGACGTGTTGCCTCGACTACAATCGTCTCGTGGTGGGTGCGACCTGTTACACTGAATGACTATGCTGCATTGGGATGTGGGTGAGTCGTCAGAAGTCACGCAATGCAAAAATGTGAGCTCAAAACGCATCCCTTCCACACTGCTTACGTTGTCACACACCGCAGTGCCCCTTCGTGCAAAGATCCCATTTGTGTTTGTTTCCTATCCCAACTAGATTGGCACAATGCTACTGAGGCATTAGCCTGTGAGCCTTCGCCTGTCATTCCTTCACCGTACCTTTTCAGGCTATCTTACTGAAGCGGGTAAGTAAAGCGAACGGCTTCAATGCTCTCGATGGTGCATGCCTACATTTGGAGCTCGTTGCTAACCGCCCTCTTCCTGACTCGCGTTGCGCTGACCGCCTCGCTAACCGCCGGTTCCGTGACCTCGATCACAGTGCCTTAAACCCACCTCTTCCTTTACTCAGTTTGTGCAGCCACGACCTCCGTCGGTGAGTTAATGTAAACGTCTGTTCCTCACGTCTGTCCCACTCCTCACCTCTCTGTGCTCAGAGAGGCAAATTCTACTTCCAATTCCTCCGTCTCCCTCTCCCCCTGCCACACAACTGTCCGTCCAACTCCTCTTTCCGTTTCCTTGTTTATTTCAGGTCCCACAGTTAGCAGAGTAAGTTGGTTCACTTTGACATTGTTAATCCGCATTGCGCCTCCCTCCTGCACTCCACCCAACCTCACCGCTTGCCCCTCAATCCGCGTCTGCACTCTCAAGTCCTTCCACCTTCTTGCAGTCATCCGGCATCCTCACTCTTGATGGCAGTGCTGCACTGAATGCATCCACCTGAAGAACGGAGCAGCAAATGCGCATAGACACGGTGGGAAAACAATCATTTTGCGAATTCCTTTCCGCAAATTTTGCCGTTTTCAAAACTTGGTGATGGTTGTGTGATGGGAATAAAAGTTCCTCCTCCTACCTGTGCATTAGAATTGGGACTAGTAGTTATTTTTGGGATGTGGCGTGCCTCACTCCAACCAACCTCTACAGCCAACACCAACTCTGCATTGAAAGGGGGAAGCAAGAGGTGAGGTGGCTTGAAGTTGTGACTGCAGTCGCACTTGAGCGCATGGCAGCACACCGATCGTGAGGCGCAGTGGTTGCTTCAATCAGCAGTCCCAAAAGCAGAGGCGGGGCAACGAGGCAAGGAGACTGCACTGCTATAGTGTTTCGAAGGAGGTGATGATGTAATTGACGTAGAGAGAATCGTGCTTCACCTCTGGTTCTTCCTTCGAATCCACCTCCTACTCCCATCAATGCGCATTTCAACAACAACTTTCCACTCCAGCATTGTTCTGCTGCCTTACTCACTTCAAGTCAACGAGGCCTGCTGCATTGCCATAGTGACACCAAGGCGACTTCCTTTGTGCTGCCGCTCGGAGGGTGGAGTGAAAGGAGGGTTTGAAAAGCACTGAAGAGGAATGCAGCGCTAAACAGCCCCAACACCAACACGATTGTTCGACGAAAGCACTGGAACTGCATCCAATTTCGATCGCATTGTAGTGGAATACAAATGACTTGTGTAATTGCAGGCGCGTTCAACCCACATTCACTGAGGTCGAGTCGCGGTTGCTGTGGTCTCATTCTCGGTGCGAATCGAAAGCGGTGGCGCCTGTGCGAACACGCAAGCAGACACACTGTGTAAGCGCCGAGAGCATGAGCATTGAGTGTTGGGAGGGAGGGAGGGAGGGAGGGAGGGAGGGGAGGCACAATCGCCTTCACATATCCTTTTGGCAATCATTTGGGCGAGGCCGCAGCCGTATTGCTACTTCGGTGGCACCTGTGCCAGAACAGAGCCTATCCACACCTTACGATTACGTCCATGCCCTCCAGACACCATGAAAGCAGGCACCTCTGCTCATACAATGGACCACGACCGTCGGCACACTTGCCAATTTCGTTCACCTCATTGGCATTCATGCAGCGTTGCAGACTCGGCCAAATGAGTGATTGTAGTTCACCATTTTTGTTCTACTGGACATGAGCACCAATGTTGAGGACTGATTGGCATGCCTTGGGAATGCTAAAGTGACTGCCTCAAACGGAAGCGATGAGCGACTCCTGTGCAGGAAGACATGGGCATCCACTGAGCGCCAAATGAGGACATTTTGTTCACCCGTAGTAGGCTAGCATCAAGATAGGACAAGTAAGCGTCGTGTTCAAATCTCTC